CTACTAAACTTACCTACCACTACGTAACTACTATTACTCGTACTACTATTAGTAAGTAGACTACTAATTAGTATTAGTTAGTAGTCGTCGTCGTATACAACACACCACTATATATATATATATATATATATATATATATATATGAGGTTGTGGCCCTAAGCAATCCAAGTAAGGCATACCTCTAAATAGTATCGAAATATGATTTTTCATAAACAAAAATCTCTATGTTTCTCATATCTGCTAATAATATTTAGAGCTTAAAAAATAGAGTAGATTGAACAGATCTATAAACACTTTAAAATATTGAAAATTGACAGCCCAAATAATGCATTATAAGATGCACTATTTCCTAGATTTGGAAATCCTTTTTTATTTTTTTCACATCTTTACATCTGGAGGTCGAGATGATTGACTTGAGGGTTTTTTGACATCAAAACAATTTCTTCTAGTAAATTTTTTTGGTGCACCTTGATTTGATTGTTCAATCTTTATTAATATTTTTTTTCCTATTTATATATATATATGGAAAATGTTTATGTAAAAATGTAGAATTAAGGTGCATTGCTAAAATCCATTGAAAATAGTTTTTTTTATGTTTGAAAGGTATCAAATTGATCATCTCGATATTGATATGTTTAGCTACATAAGAAAAAAAAAAAAAAAAGAAGATTTCAAGTCCTAAAATAGTACATCCAGCCGCACATTGTAGGGACCATCCATTTTCAAGATTTTCATGCATTTATAGATCTAATTGAAACCATTTTAAAATTTTATAAGGATAGATAAAAATAGATTCTCACATCAACCTAAAACCTTTTGACACTGAGATTGCTTCTAGTAATGAAGTTCCAAGGTGCACCATACTTTGCAACCATTTTTATAACTTTTTATTAGAGTTTTCCTTGATATTTTGGTGAACGGAAGGTTGTTTAATAAGATATGCAGTTTTTAGCCTTTTTTGAATTGCCAAATTTTTTATATATTATACACTTCCCCCAAACTAGCCTTGTCTTTTACCTGTCTTATACTCGACTTGGAATCACGTTTTAAACCTGTCAAGGACTTTGGAATAACATAGTCATCTTGTGATATACCTTTTTTGTTTGTTTTATAAAATTCTCTCATCACTTTGTGTAACTTCTAGTAACATCAAATTTATGAGAGTAAATTTAAAAAGAGTAAGGGTTGGGAAAATATTTACTCTATATTGGAACAAAAAATATATTAAGGGATTGGAGGAAGAGTAAGGGTTGGGAAAATATTTACTCTATATTGGAACAAAAAATATATTAAGGGATTGGAAGAAGAGTAAGCGTTGGGAAAATATTTACTCTATATTGGAACCAAAAATATATTAAGGGATTGGAGGAGACTGAAGAGTTATATTAATTCAAATTCTTTTTTTCTCTTTGGTTGCTGTTAATGCCCTCTGTTTTTCGAAGTAACCATGCAAAACTTGGTTCTGCGGGTAATACCCTTGTTGTTCTAAGTAACATGCAAAATGTTGTTCTAAGCAACATGCAAAACTTGGGCCTGCTGGTGATGCCTTCTATTTTTCTAAATAACCATGCAAAGTTCCCAAGTCTCTTATAATACTTTACTGATTCTATAATTACTGTGCGTAAAATTATGGGGCTGATTGTACTGATTCCGATTAACTATAGTATTGACTCGTTCTAAATAGAAATACAAAACACTGTGTGTAAAATTATGGAGCTGATTGTACTGATTCCGATTAACTATGGTATTGACTCGTTCTAAGTAGCAATGCAAAACTTAATGGGCTAAGTCTCTTATAATACTCTATTAATTGTATAATTACTCTGTGTAAAATTATGCATCTGATTGTACTTACTCTAATTAACTAGTCTAAGTCACTTTGATTAACTAGTCCGAGTCTATAATATAAACCAATGATATCATTTTCTTTTAAAAAAATCAAAACAGGGCATACTTCGCACCTCCAATTTAGTGTTGTTGATTTTAACTAATACACATTTATAATATAAACCAATGATATCTTTTTCTCTTAAAAAAAATCAAAAGCGGCATGTTTTATATCTCCAACATCATATTATAGTGTTTTTGATTTTAAGTGTACATATAATCTGTTAGGCTGGAATTTGACAGATTCAATACTTCATCTTCCAAATCCTACTCGATTATAGATTTGGTTCTTTCACCACAACAACCCCTCTTTCATATCTCTCTTCCCCACACTCTTGCTAGATTTTTCTTTTTCAATGTTAACCTAAATTTTTTGTTGAGATTGTATACAATGGAGATAGGACCATCTAATGAGAAATCTGATAGTTTGGGTGTATCACAAAGTTGACGAAATTTATTTTGAACTTTGAGCTTTAATCAATGGAATAAATACAACCACCCAACTTCAAAGATTAATCGTGACAACCTTGTACCAAAGGTAAATGGTCTCATTATATACTTACCCATTTTCTTTGGTCTTTTCAAATATGAATTTTATATGTGCTGCTTGACGAAGTCAGCAAATAGCTATGCATTTTGATTAAGACTTGTTTACACCTTTTTTTTGCCTTTCTCTCTCCATTGATGCATCAAAAACTCTTTCTATATTCTGCAAAAACTCTTTCATCTCATCCAAAAACCAGGATTGATTGCCATGGACATGTGAGCTCACACACCAGTTTACATTGGACAAATCACCTTGGACAATTATCCTAGAATATTTATCATTTAACACATTCACATGGAATAACTCTCATCTTAGCTTAATGTTGATATGGGTTCGAGAATGTGGTTAGGATCCGTAAGTCACAGTCTCTAACCAAACCTCCAATACCCTCTGATTCAAGATCATCCTAGAGCTGTCATCAAAATTAACCTTCAAGATTTACTAATTTTTGTGCTTTAGCAAAAAGATTATTAATGAGATACATTAGTGTTATGTTAAACTTCTCCAATACCCAGGATCATCCTAGAGCTGTCATCAAAATTTAATAATTTTTGTGCTTTAGCAAAAAATTTATTAATGAGATACATTAGTGTGATATTAAACTTCTTTTGATAAATTATTTTATTGATACTTCATATACTCTTTTATATTTGATATATTATGGTTTGATTTCATAAATTTTTCTATGAGATGATAACTTCTAAGAGTCCGTGACTAGTATGGCGCCCCTCAAAAATCCAAAGGAGAATGTCGTCAGAGTGGATATAAGAAAAATAAAAGATTCATAAAATTAATGCTTCTTGTAAGACATTATCTAGATTATCCTATTTCAAAATTTATGAGTATCTAAAATTTGCTTGATCTATACAATTTTTAAAGCTTTATACTATTTTTAAGTCGCATAATTATAGGAAAATAGATTTTCAAGTCATTATAAAGATTTCTGGCATGAGAAGTACATCTTCTACATATGATCAATGGTAGGGGATGGATTAATCATCTTGAAGTCATTGTAAGGATTTCCATATGATCGGGATTGCAACATCTGAATAAGGATTTTTTCTCTTCAAGTGATTATAAGGATTTCCATATGATCGGGATTGCAACATCTGAATAAGGATTTTTAGGTAGTACTTCTACGGCATGCTGTTGACGTCTTATATAAACTTTTATTTTTATTGTAATAATAACCATATATTCACATACTAGATCTCATCATATATTAGTATATAAATATAAATATAAAAATTTATATAAAGCACGAAGCGGCTCAATATACTCAATATAAATATAAAAATTTATATAAAGCACGAAGCGGCTCAGATAATGTGTGGCTTACAACTGATCCCTGAACTCTCTCCTCACAAATTTCCAGTTTGCAGTTCCTACTCTTCACAAATTTCCAGTTTGCAATTCCTACTCTTTACGTTGAAGGCATGGGAGTCATCACATTTCCGAATTTTGATTTTAGAAAGAGGGCTCTCTCTATTATCCTCATAAATTTCCATTTCTTAATTCCTTTTTTTGGACCATTTATGATTTGTGGGTGTTATCGTTGGCTTTATTGATTTGTGCGTGTTATTGTTGCGCAGGGGACATGCTAATCTTCTCTTCTCTATATAGTTCCAATTTTAATTTTAGAGAGAGGGCTCTCTCTCTCTATTATTCTCACAAATTTCCACTTCTTAGTTCGACCATTTCTCGATTTGTGCTTGTTATCCATCGTCTCTATATGGTTCCAATTTTAATTTTAGAGAGAGGGCTCTCTCTCTCTTATTCTCACAAATTTCCACTTCTCAGTTCGAGCATTTCTCGATTTGTGCTTGTTATCCTTGCGCAGGGGCCACGTTAATCTTTTCTGTCTCGTTCCAATCTTATCGGATGTCTCCAAAGGGATTCCTCTCCTCTATGATGAACGTATGGTAGACCTATCAGTGGTGATTTTATTAAGAGCCTTGAGAGAGAGAGTCTCCAGTGTGAGAGGGGCACGACACAAAAAGGAAATTTATACGGCTTTAAGGATTTTGGGGGCTTAGGACTAATAAGGAATAGAGGGATTTGATAAGTACACGACTGGTTAAAAAAAAAGGAGGGATCCGTACGAGAGCATCCTTTGGATTTTTTTAAGAAATTTATCAAAATATACATCTCTTTTCAACCGGTTAACCTTCTACTTTTTTTATACCATTCATCTTATCTTTCCTTTCGTTGTGAACAGATTCATAACTGTGGCAACAAATATGTGTCACAGTTACGTACAGATTCGTAAATGGGGCAAATATCGTGGTGATGACGATGTACAAATTCATCTGGATGAATTACATTCTTGTAGCTTTTATATTTGTTTACAATGCTATACAATGAGACCATTTATTTTGGTACAAAGTGGTACAATTAATCTTGACCATTAGATGTCTATATTTTATTTTATTGATCAAGCTCAAACTTCAAAAAAAACTTTTCTCGAACTTTGTGACTTATCCAAACCATTAGATTTTACATCGGATGGTGGTAAATAATTGTGACCTTGTACCAAAGGTAAATGATCTCATTGTATACAATCCCGTATTTCAATTTATGTTCTTCTAAAACTTTTTTCTTGTATGGTATTCCTCTTATGTACATCCGCAATAATTTATGTTATTTTATTTATTACTCGCCGCATCAAAAGTCAACTTCACGTTCTGTTACACCAAAAGGAATATGTATGGTCAAAAGAATGCAACAATTACTCTTGACATTGATACTGTTTTGTCTTTAGGAGGACATAATAAACCTACCATATCTTCTCCAGGTGTGGGAAGTTGTATGTTACATTTCCCACATACAAGTACTCTTTTCCGTATAGCTACTAATTTGTAGTATACATCTACATCCACTTGCTTCTTTGCACCCTTCCAAAATTTCGCACTCTGCAAGCCCATGACAGCGGCTTCATGGGCAAATACCCACTAGATCGCCACTCTGCTGACAAAAGAAAGTCATTATCAAGTTCTTCACACAGTCCAAAAAGATTAGATACTCACACAGTCGAGTGAAAGCCTATCTAAGAGTGTATTTTTAGGAGAGTCATGGGGATATAACCTCCTCAATATTGTGAAAGAGACTGTTCTTTTTTCAGATGATCACATCTGTGTTCAAGAGCTCACAAGTTTTTTGGAAAATACTCCGTGATTCAAAAGTGAATCCAAAATTCCAAACAGAGAAAATCCTTCTAATTAGGTATCTTTCCCGAGGGGGTGTGTACAATATGCTCCTTCAAGAGTATGCTATTATATGCACTCATCCAAAATAATTGAGAATAGTGAAACGGTTATAAGAGCTCACCTTGGAAATATGGTTGCCAAAAAGTAATGATATAATTTTCCTCCGCGTGCACCTCAATTATCTATTTCTTCAGGGATATTAGCCCTACCCAGATAAACTTGCTGCATCTCTTCTCGCCAAATCTGCATAGAATGTGGTGCTTACACCATTAGATGACCATAGAAGTAAAGGGAACTATACCATTTTCCAATTGAGTACGGTGTATGATACTTCAAAGGGATACCGTCTGTCCCTGATGCGCAGTGACAAATAATCATAGCGAGGCTCACGGGACATTCACAGAGGCAATGTTAATCTTCACCATTCTTCATTGATATTGAACAATAGATTGAGTACCATATACCATATTCCAATGGAGTATGGTGTACTTTTCAAGATGTAAGAATGGATGACATCAATGAAGAAGAATAATCATATCAAACCGTGTCACGGAATTCAACTCGTATGTGAGGCACATTTGTCTTCCGGACGTCATTCCCATCTGGACCTCTTATATAGTATTTATTCCCAATCCAATGTGACTGCAAAATAGACATATAAAATGTTTATGGTGCTCCAGTATTCATTTGAATAGAACACATAAGAAGTTACTGACATAATCTATGAATAGTATATCTTGGTTTTGTGATCACTGAGAAGAGCTCTCTGAATCCGTTTTGTTAGAAAAAGTAAAGTAACCAATCAATATACACAACTGGGGAATATACCCATTCTCATAGTTAGCATAGTATGCTCCTTTCTCAACATCCTGGTTTTCCGACAAGAAAAACACCTACATAAATTTGAAAGCAAATATCTAACTAAACTATGTACATGCTTCAGCAAAAAAGGAAGTACGACAGATACGTACCCCTTACAAAGGAAATTTTATTGAGTATCCAACCAAAGAGCCCACTGGACTATTGGCCAGTGCCTCCAAATTTGACTCTGATGATAGACCCACTATTGCACTGTAGCTCAAAAATTATGGGTGTAACCAGAAAATCAGGATGGGGTTCTTAGTGGACAATATATTTACATATACCAAGATAAATGGTCCAGTTTCACACAATCACTGCAACTCTGGGGGAGATTAGACAATCATGTAACAAGGAAAACTGGCAATTCGTCTTATTCTGAAAATACAGTTTCTTTTCTTTTCAATTAGTAAATTTTGATTGCCACACAGGTCACAAGGAGTTCACCGATCCCAGTACTTTTCTTGAAGAAACATGTTTGGATTCCGAGTTTCTGATTGTTAAGTGCACTCAAAACTCAGTATAATGCTAGTAAATTTTGGCAAGCCAAAGAAATAGAAAAATATATAAAGAGGATGTACCTTCAGAGCATGTGAAAAACCAGATTGATAGACCGAGTTTCGGGCAATCTCACACAAATCACATGAACTGAGCTTCCACACCTGGCAGTGCAAATGTAGACTTGTTTAAGATACAATATTTCATACAGAAGTAACATCAATTGATATGCAGATACAAAAGACAATGCGTACCGAAGCTGCTATACTGTACTCCTCCACCAGAGGTTCTTTTGTTAAATGAATTTGTAAAGGATCATCAGTGGAGAGAGAAACATTGAGACCGCGAAGAAAAAATATTGGAAAAGGATTCCGATGATAATCAAGAAACAATGAGTTGTTGCTTTGGGGAGACATGGCCAAACCAATCTGGCAACCAAAATGTACCACTAAATAAATCACATACAGCTCTATTACAAAGAGACAGCCCTCATATAGAAATAACAAATACACACACACACACAAAAACAAATAGAATATATATATATATAGACACAGTATAAAAGCACAAAAAGAAATCAGAAAATTTATGAACATCATTTAAAATAGGGTGCAGTTTGTATGAGGCTGAGGCCCTAAGAAATCAAAGTAAGGCGCACCTTCAAATAGTGCTGAAATATGTTGTTTTAGTATCAAAAACCTTTGTGATGGCCTGAAATTTTATTTTCATCTCTAATTATAAAATTCAAAGATTAAAAAATAGTGTAGATAGAGCAGATCTATGAATACTTGAATATCTTGAAAATCGACGGTCTAGATAATACATTACAAGACGTAATATTTTCAAGATTTGAAATCCATTTTTTCCCATGTCCATACATCTTGAAGTCGAGATGATCAATTGAGTGTTTTGCAGCATCGAAACAACCTCCTCTAGTGAATTTTTGAGGTACGCCTTAATTTGATTGTTTAGGGCCTCACCCTCATATAAACTTTTTCCTTTAGAAACTCTATTTTTTAGCACAGGTAGAGCGACATTACGAAACAGTTGTCACTAAGAGCTTAAAAAGGACCTAAAAAATGCATAAGATCCAAAGAAAAGCCAATGGTTTATCAAACGACACCAGTTATATGCACAAATGAGACCAAGCAGAACACCATCAAGTTTCAGCAATTTGAAAAGTTGATGTCATGAAGAGCTCTACTTTTTTGGTACTATGGGTTCAAAATAAATTAAATCAACAATATATTACTACTGCAAAGAGGAAGGCACTTAGGTTTCAAATGGGACAGCTACCAATCCAGTAACCACAGGGAATACTTGACCTAAGAGAGACTATTAATATGCATATAAACTTCGGAATGAACCAAAATAGCACACTGGGCGGCAGGTCTTATTCTCATTCCTAGGTGCCAAGTTCAAATTCCATGTCTCTGTGTGTGTGTGTGCATGACTCCGTAAAAATGCACCGCTGTCATTTTCCAAGATTCAAGCTTGGCTCACAGCTTGGTTTCCACCCGAACCCCCTCCCTCCAACCCTGTTCTTCCTTTTTTTGCTTTTTTGGTTAGTAGTATGGGGGTGGAGAGATTAAAAGCCAAAAAGGCTGGCTCTAAAGCATCAAGCTCACGTAAACGGAAGAACAGACTCCATGTACCTCATGATGCATATCCAATGGCACTGGAAGAATATCTTTATACCTGAGCAAGGTAATACAAGTACTGCAGAACAGGAGATTTTCGGAGATTAATTCCATGAGCTATATTGTGAGCAGTAAGAAATGTTGCAGCCAAGTGGTCAATGTCACCAGCCTGAGAAAAAAGAATAATACATCAAGAAGGTTTAGGAAATCCTAGATGATAAGAAAATAATAAAATAAAAGATTCTATGTGAAGCAAACATGAAACTTTAAGAATGAAACTAGACAGGGTTTGGAAGAATTTCCATAAATACCTCTCCTGAATGTGGCCGAAATTTGATGGTTGTCATTCCCTTAGATTCACGAAGCTGACCGAAGTCAACCAACAGTTACATTATGAGTCATTGCAGGCAAGCGATAATGTCCCCAAACCTCACATTGTGAGCCATTGCAGGCAAGTGATAAAATGATACATTAAAATTGAAGGATTTACCTTATTGAGGGTGTAAAGGTTTGCATAACAATAGTACACATAGTATGAGTAGGCAGGATTAAATATATTAGTCCATTGGGCTGGAGTAGGCATGTGCTTTGTTGGACGTCTTTCGGGTTTGCTTTCATCATCCACCAAATCTAAACCGACAACCTGCAAAGATCCATTAGTGACCCAAGCTGATGTTGACTTCTAATATATATTGAAATTTCAAAATATGCACAAGATCCATTAAGAATTAGGTTGCATTGTTTTTGGATAGTTCATCATAGCCACAGGATTACCTCATAATTGAAATAGTTTCTCTCTTAAAAATAAGCAAATGTATAATACTTGTGATGTAGGACCAAGAGGGCTTGGCTCCTATGCAAACATGACATGCTTGGTGGGCTTACAAATATACGAGAGCAGGGTTTTGAGGGTATCGAGGTGGCCTAATGGTAGTTATGATTTGGGAATTTGAACTCTAAATAAGGAACGATTTAGTTGGGCTGATAGGGAAGGCTTAGATACATTTAGGGCAACAACGAGAGGTGGGTTATCAAGTTGCTGGAAAAATGCAGGTGCAGCAATGGTAATTAATGGATTTGTAGGGAATAAGCAAGATTAGGGTTAATTTGGTGGGATAAGGGGTAAAAGTGATGGGTTACGGGGGGTGGTGGGACATGTTATTATTGCTTGGGAAGGGTCAATTTGATGGGGTAGATAGGGTAACGAATTTTGTTGGACTTTTTGGATGGAGAAGTGCCACACAAGAGGGGAAAACAAGCGTAAGTGAGCTGACCTCCAAACTACAAGCTCAAATTTTGTGGAACCTCTACAAAAATAAGAAAAAGGAGCTTTAATCTTTAGGGCAGACTCCCTACTTCTAGGCTAGAGTTGTAGAACACCCTCTACAATAGGGGTAGAAGAAGCTCTGCTCTGAAGGCGGTCTCTCATCACAAATGAAACCAATTTTTATTACTCAACTTGAATTCATTTGGCGAGAGACCTACATTGGGTATTTAAGAGGTTTGAACCTGCATGGGTATTATAGAGGCTTGAGCCCCTCTTTATTTGACTCGGTTTGGGCTCTAAGCTATCACAACTTTCCCAAAGATAAACCATCTATATTCTTACAAGATTAGGTAACTAGTTCCTTTAGAGTTTTAGGAATTGACCCTTACAAAATGTGGAAGTAGTATAGACTTTTAAACAAAATTAGGAAAAACCAACTTGCAAATTAAGGAAAGGAAACTGAAATTTTGAAGACTTCAATTTTCTAATCATTAGAGCCAACAACACTCTAGAAGATAGTGTCAGAAGGGTTTGTAGGACTCAATAACGGAAGAATCCTAAAACACTCTGGGAAATAAAATTTGCCACTGATTTTTCAAGGTGGTATCCAACTACAATTAAAAGCCTGAAAATCTGAATCACAAAAAAACCATAGAGATAAGGTTCGTAGATCTCGAAGAGATCTTTGATTTAAGTTGGGTTCTTTGAAAGCTGATTGCATCAACATGGAGGATCCCTGAGCTTTCCTACTCATTTATGGGCTCTATGATGGCATTCAACTTAATTAGTACATTAAATAGGCATGCACATAAGTATTCAACTTAACCAGTACATTTAATAGGTAACACATAAGTATCACATTATGTACAAGCATGTGCATCCATATTTCTGTTAGTTACATAATGCTTCTGAGCATGGCCCATTATCATGCGAATATCAGCCCTCCTTAGCTTCCTTAGAGGATTACGTACTAAAATTACAGCATATAAAAACTTAAGCAAGCCTAGGTCATAGTTTTCTCAAATTGTGGGGCTGTCCGTATTTCCATAAAAGCACAGTTGGCGGATTGCCCAACCATGATTTCGGAGTTAGATCAACTACCCTTTCCCAGCTGAGTGTCAAACCTGCCATTTTTATGGTGCATTTTTGATAGAGGAGGGGGCCTCCAAATAGCAAAAAAAGCCTCCTTAATTTCAATAGGGTGAGACATTACATTGCATGCAAACCACAAACTAGCAGCTCATCCAATATTCCAATGTGGCCTTCAGTATGGTGTTCTTGAATACAAGTGTGCAGCATTGGACAAGACAAACGTCATGTGAAGCAATAGCTGTCCAATACATGATTGGTGACAAGGTCATGCCTTTGACAGGGAAATGCAAACTTCTCGCACCTTTCATGCTACATGGGAGTTCGATAATCTAGTGGTATTGCATTCTGATGTGTTAAGGTGCAAATGAACTGAACAGCTGGTTATCCAAACATGAGGCATAACAAAGGAAACCAGAGAGGAAAAGAGGGAAGGGGTTTTCTGAAGTAGGAAACTATGGCAGGCGAAGATCTTTCCAAACAATGGCATGCAAAGATCTTTCCAAACTATGGCTTGCAAAGGCAATTCTTTTGGCAGAAGTCATTTATTTTGTTATATGTACTCATGTTGGTCTACCTGGCCCATTACAATGTTAATGTTTTGGTTGTTCGTATTAATTTTGTCTCTCCCATGTATTTGATAAGTATATTCTGATGAATTGGTGACTAGTGCTGGTAAAAATGCTGAATTGCTGATATATGTTATGGGCCATATAAATTGAGTAGGCAATATCAGAAAGTAGTGTCATACTACAAGGGATAATGTGGTCAGCTTCAAAGCTAATATTGTGCATGGTAGGTGTATGATATGTTACAAGGACAAGAGAGTGTCTGGCACATTTTATAGGACATAAGTGTCCAATACATATCTTGGCACACCATTCATGCCACAAGATGCAGGCAAGACATGTCTGCATTGTCAATCAAATATCATGTCCAACACATTTCTGTTAATGTGTCAAACATTGATGCACGTGTCCAAATGGTGGACACATGTCTAGATATCTGGACACATGTATCACATTCAGGCACGTGTGTCTGTCCTTGAACACACACTTCCGGCCTTTGGACACGGGCTTCCACACTATCGGCCATGCATGTATTGTTTGGACATGCATGATCTAATTTTCAAGTTAACTTTATTGTTAGAAAGTCACCAATTAATATTATATAATAATATATACAAACAAGTATGCATTGGTCGTGTTTGACACACCACTTTATAAGCAGCCATGTCAGGCATGGCATGTCCGTGTCTAATGCGAACACGTGTTTCTGTCACTTTGTAAGATAAGGGCATGTCTATTGGGTTTCTGATTTCTCATAAGTGCTTTAAATAAAATAATGTCTACTCAGTTAAATAAATCCAATAATTACTTTATATAACTATTTTGAACTCAGTTAAGTTTTGATAATTTTAGCGGGTGATGGAATGCCTGATTTCGTTAAAATGCTTTGAAGAACATTTTGGTTATAGATTTTGGGGGTTTTCTAATTTCTCCTTGATTTTTTTTTTTTTTTTTTTCCTTGCCAGCTTTTTGTGGGGATTTTCGGAGTTACTGTCTTTTTAGGATTAACAAAAAAATTGCAAAATATTTTTAAGGGGATGTCTTTAATAAGTGACTGGTGTCTTTGTTTAGCATTGCACATATGAGAGACGTACAGGGGAACAGATATCAATCAGGTTGGTGTGAACTGCTGTGGTAGGACCCATTGTGGCTGGGCCTGTCTAGGCGCCACCTTGAAAAACTTGAGTATATGACTTATCATGATGTAGTACAACTAAGGATGAAAAACTTGAGTATCATGGTTTATCATTGATCTGACACAAATAGGGGTTAGATTGGAGATATATGTCAGGGCATATAGAGGCAATTCCCAGGTGGTTGAGCACAATCTTATTGAAAACTAAGTAGTCCCTTTATATATAAATCAGGTAAATAAATTTGTGTATGAATTCATTTGTGTATGAATTCGAGTAACGATCAAGGAAGGTTCCCCATTTAGCCACATGTTTTTCTCTGCTTCTTTAACTTACGCATGCTCATGAAAGGAGATGATGAAGCAGTAAGTTCACTTGTGAATTCACTAGAGATCTTCATATTATCACTGTTATACACGCAGGCTGCATCAAATCCCAAGATAAATCACCCAAAGATACCCCAAGAGATTCAAGCAAATGTCAACTTGCATTGTTCAGTGTCTTTAAACTTGGGTCCAACTCAACCATAAAGCATACATGGCATCTTAAACATAATGAAAATGATCCCAATACAACAAGTATCAAAAAGTATCAGTTTATGCCAAGCTGAATTTTACAAGAGTGCATAAATGAGAAATTAAAAAAATACTAACAGGGCATACCTGTTTCAAAAATACATGCAACTGAGGATGTGAATCTGGATCTACTGTGACTTCGAAAAGGGGGAGGAATATATTGTCTAGAATATTCTGAAATGATGTAACGATACCCATTTCCTTGTATATATTATACAGGCGAGGAAGCTGAAAGAAAAACAAAAGTGAATTTTTTTACATGCTGTGAACAAGCTGGCAGATAAATATACAAAAAAGGGCTTAAAATCCTTGCCTTCGTGATAGCTAACAAAACTTCCATTAATGTATTAAACCATTTACAATTGTACATTCATAAAATTGACACCATGCATGAGTCTTTACGACACTGATTATGGCATATGGAAACCTCAGCTAAATGCAGAAACAGTCTTGGTCCTATAAATATATCTAGCACGCAACCATACAAACAAACCTATATTTCTAAGAAATTTTTCACTTAAGAGAATGCACAAAATACTTCAGAAATTTCAGCAAGAAGCTCAATGTTGCCAGGCTTGTACAGCCGTCTGATGGCATACAAAAACAACATATAGTTCTTCACTTGCAAAATTCAATCAGTTACCAGTATATTTTTCTATAAAGAAGGCTGCTTTACGAACTGAAATTTACTGCTTTAATAAGGGTTTTCATCGACCAGCTCAACGGCAGTGATACTCATAAATATGTTAAGTGTCCCACTCTCCTAAGGAAACGTGTGTAAATGTTTAATGTTCATCAAGACATTCAGACATTGCTTTCTGTTCTTTCATTATTTTTCCTTCCAAGAGACATTTACAAAGGCTGCTTTACGAACTGAAACTTACGGCTTTAATAAGGGTTTTCATTGACCAACTCAAAGGCAGTGCTACTCATATTTAATATATGTGTCCCACTCTCATAAGGAAACATGTGTAAATGTTTAATGTTCATCAAGACATTTAGGCATTCCTTCCAAGAGAGAAATAGACATTGCCGGAACAGCACAACTGCATGGTTTAGCAGATTAAATTTCTCATCTCACTAGCAAGTATTTAAATTCCAATCCCACTAGCAAGTTTACCTATCATCTTATCAAATATCACACAAGGATCCGTATAATTTTCGAATTACAAGGGAGCAAATATTCATTCTTAGTATGAACCTATCAAAGGTCTTCGACCAATGCCGGATTGGTACATTGGCCTTGCTTAGGAGGCCAGGGCAGTCTGGCAGTCGCCTCTTGTTTGAGGTGGCTGGGACTGCATGGAGGCGTCATTAGGGAATCAGTTGCTAACTATGACTCTTAATAGTGTTTAGTGCAGTATTGCAGGTGTATCAGTGTATTAAAAAATTAGGAAATTGATAAGAATGTAAGCAAACACTCCACAATTCAAAATTCAAATCTAAAAGAGAGGGAAGCAATTTTAGAAGGAGAGAACAAGCTAACAACTCAGGCTATTGAATTATGTTCCCATAACTAAGTTGATCTTAAGAATGCACTAGGTACATCCAAATTAGCGGCTAAATCAATTGATGCCAATGGCAATTCAAACTTAAAAGGTGAGTGTAAGGAGATTAAAAAAAATCTATACTCTCTCCCATCCCCCTCCCTCCGTGTCTGCGTATATCTGTGTGCGCAACAATGTTGCTAGAAGCAGCCAACAGCAGCTAGGCACCCGCCTGTGGCAGACTCCCTTAGCCAAAGCAACATGCTTAGGCCTCAGGCTCCCTCAAAGATGAAGCCTAGGCAGCAAGGCGGCCTACCTTTCAACACATCACTTTGAATGCTGCAATAGTGGAACAATAGGTTTATTGGACAACTGATATTATTCTTGATTTTTAATTGAGAGGGCTCAGTGATGGGCTTAGAACCAACAACCAAAGGCCTAAAAATTCAATGTTATAGCCCAGAATACTGAAGAAACACCAAGGAGTTCACACATCTAAAAGATAATATGATACAACGAGAGAAATTGAGGCAATATGCATGAACCAACCATTACATGATTTGCAAAAATCACTCATTAAACTACTTCTCACACCACTTAATGTGATCAACATCCTATTTGCTTCAGTAAACCCCTCGTCCTTCGTACTCCGGTCAATGTTAGCCCTTTCTCTCAATAAAATATCACCGTGATGCTTAATTCCCTCACACGCCTCATCCAACATCCTCGAGAGAATCCCATAAAATATCACCATGATGCTTTAGCCAATTTCTACAACATGACTTCCAACATCCTCAAGAGAATCCCATAAAATGGGGCAAAGGGGTTCGCAGACTCGATTGCTTAGTTGCACAAGCCTTATACTTAGGTAGAAATCTAGCATTCACATGACCAACTTTCACACTCTCCTAGTGGATGCCAATGCTTCATCTGCTCCTGCTCCCACAAGGCATTCACGAGACATATCCAACAGCTAAGATCCATGTATCGTTTTTTGTTAGGATATCATCTAAAAATGACTCTAATTGTTTTATTCACCCTTCAAATTATAGCCTTCAGCTCATATTCCATATTCTGACCACAGCCTCCTAAGATAATTGCATTTCTTTCTAAGGAAGATTTTCTTGCAAACAATATCTTTTCAAGCCCAAGAAAAATCATTTTTCTCCTTCACAAATTTCAAATGCTACTCCCTACCCGGGCTGCAGCTCAACTAAATATGCCCTTATGCACACCTTTGTCCTTCTTAGCTCCTTCAACTATTATCCGACTTGATAATGCCTCAGTCTGCAACCAAGTTCCCCAACAAAACCCTTACAATTTCAATCATCACAGAACTACATTCAATTATATGGTCACACTGTCTGAACTAGTGTTATAATTTCATAATAAGACTTGTGGCACCAAATATATTAAGCTTTAGGGATCCACAGAAAGCAAACTCCTCTTTGAGTAGAAGTCCTTGTATTTTTAAGTAGAGAGAAATCATGATCAACGAGCTAGGTTCAGAGTCAACACCAAGATAGCATTTCTGCTTTCAAATATGACAACTACAAGGTAGATAACAATAAAGTTCAATTCACATTTGAATACTACCATGTAACATGGGACTCCTGGTCAATCTACACTGCTAATGACAAATCATATCAAATCAAACAAAATAAAGACTAGTATTACCATATTCCATACTTGGGAAAAATTTCTTGCTTAACAAAACTGAACAACTATTACAAATTTCACAATGATTACCAAGTTTGGACGTCAACCTTATTGTAAAATAATCATTTTTTTTAAACTTAAAGATTTTCAATGTAAACCCTCATGGATTTCAGAGCTGTTTATAAGGTCACTTGCTTTGGGGTCCAGAAGCCTCAAGGAATTCTGGACTATGATTCATTGGCAACAAAGGATAAGGATCAGACAGTTCACCTTCAGTTGTGCAGGGTCCAGCCTCTTGATATTGTTTTATTTACAGATATGGTGAGAAAACCATCAATCGCCTCCTCGCAACTAACGTTTATGGGAGTAGGGACCAATGTGGAGCTCGTCTCTAAAACTGGAGGTGATGGCAAAGAAGGTTGTCTCAAAACTAGAAGCATTGTCATCAGGCCCCTTCCTTATTAGAGGGTAGATCATTGGCAAGATAGGCCTACTCGCAATGTTCTGGGAATTTGGAGGAATACCATGAATTCCAGAAAGATTAGCATGTGCAGTAATGATAGAAAGACAAATAGATTATAAGTTGTTTCACAGGAACTTGTCGGTATCCATGAAGTAGAACTTTGATGAAAGGTTCTTTGGCAATCCTGAACTATAGGAGAAGGAAGCCACTTCAGAGATGGACAGGCAATAATCCTAAAGGATTTGGCACACTCGTTACGTGTTTAAAGTTTTGAAGTGAGGTAGAGGCAGAAGCCTTGTCACAGGGCCAAGGATATTTTCTCAACACTTTTCCTGTCTCACTGTTGTTAGAAGTTGACTAACTGAATGTAATCAAATGAGGCCAATGCAAGGGTCTGTCTCTAGAGATTGCTGAGATATTGGAAGCAATCTTAGAAACTGCGCTTTCAACTATGTTCTTTCACCATACATTTAGCAAGGTTAAGGGAATTGCCAACTTCTAGGCAAGAGGAGAGGTTAGAAACCAGATGCATCCTACTTACCTAAATTTATGTTGTAAACGTATTGAATTAATAAAAAGCCACAACTTTGTGTTTGCATACCAAATTTTATTTTCTTGTGTACAATGCAGTAGAGTCTTGGACATTACCCAGAAAAAAATTAGACAAGCAAGCTCAATTAAGTTTTTTTCACTATAGAATGTGTGAATGACTTAAAATCGACGTAAGAAATAATGCAATTGACATAAAAGAACAGAATGAGTAGAATAGATCAAGTAATTGCTTGTCAAAACCTAAGTTTTATCATCCACATAATCCTTCAACTGCAATTAATATTTGCTTCAATTAGTTCTACAAGTATGAGCTACAGATAGTTTGTCCAAGCCTAAGGCAATGAAATAAAGTTCAAGGTCACCTAAACAACATGCATTCACACAAATGTAGGCACAGAGCAAATGGAACGCAAGAAAATAACAGAGGACATAAGCAGCATTTCCTTGATTGCTACAACCGAACAGATGCAATGGACTTCTTTTTCTAAAAGAAAAATCCATTGATGAGGAAACTATTGATGTATAGGTGCCATGACATTATGAAAGGAACCCAAGAAATAGCTAAAAACTGACTAATAGCTTTTTCAGTACAAATAAATTAGTCCGATTATCAACTTTTAAAGAACGGAGAAAGCAAAGGAAAATACCTGAATTAACCAAACAACATTCTCGCTGTATAATTCATTATTCACAATCCAACTTGCGAGTTGGTCCCACTCACTTTGTTTTCTCCCGTATATTGATATCCTGTACTCTGCCATCTAAAAAACACATGTAGTGCAGGTGCAGTTATGTATAGCCCATCTGGGAGAATAGAAAAAAGTCAAGAAAACTGTTGCAAACCAGCGAGGGAAGTCGTCCAAAGCATAGTTATCGGAAGCAATAGTGTCTGCAGAGTGATGTATCGCTGCTTGCAAGGAATTTGCTAGTTTGGAAGCACCATGAGGGCCCGGAAAAGGAATATATGAAACTAGAGAAATTTTAAACCATAAAAGATTCATTGAATTTTTTTGAAGATATTTCGATAAAAACGTTAAATATATTAGAAATATCTCTAATTATACTTAAATTAAGTTATTCCATAAAATTTGAGAGTAATAAACTCATATTTATTTACTGACAATAATATGCTAAAGATACTTACTTGATCTTACATTGTAAATGACCACCACCATTACCATCCGAGCCTTATCCCAACTATTTGGTCGGCTCTTTTAAATGATCATCATCATCATTATAGCTAAATCCTTCTCCCAACTAATTGTGGTTAACTATACGAATCTTGGTCCACCATCCTGCTCTATTAAGGGTCATACCCTCAATAGGCCACAAGTCCCCATATCTTTGCTCACTACTTCCAACCGTGTCTTTTTGGACCTACCCCTAGCCCTTTTTTTGCCTCCCACTTGAACTAACTCACACCTCCTCATAGGTGTTGTACTGGGTCTGTACCAACCATGGCCAGCCCACCTAAGCCTACTTTCTCTCATCTTATCGCCTATTGGTGCCACACTTAAATTTTATCGCATGTGTTCATTTTGATTTCTATCCCTTAATGTCTTGCCACTCATCCATCTCAACATCCTCATTTCCGCCACACTCATTTTATGAGTATATTGTTTTTTGACCGCCCAACATTACGCCCCATAGAGCAATGTTAGTCTCATAACTGTCCTAACTTGCCCTTCAGCTTCATTGGTAAGCGGCGATCACATAAAATTCTGGTTGCACACCTACACTTTGCCCACCCAGCTCTATTTCTATGTACGATACCTTCCCCAACCTCTCTATTTTCCTGGATTATCGACCCAAAATACTGAAAATACACTCTATTTGGTATTTCCTGACCGTTAATATTAACTACTCCCTCGTCTCTACTCCAATTATTATTAAACTTGGATTCCATATTATTTTAGTCTAGCTAATTTTAAAACCTTTAGATTTTAGAGCATCCCACCAAAGTTCAAACTTTGTGTCAGTGTTTTAAAATGCAACCGCATCATGAGGGATGCGCTCCCATCAGCGTCAAAAACAGGCGCATATGCGCTTTTGACAGATGCGGCCGCATCGTAGTCGCATCCCGCATAGGCTGCATCGCACCGCATCCCACTGCTACAGTGTCTACCGAATTGTTTTTTGGTTTTGCCAGGCAAAATGGTCTTTTTGAATATCCAAATGTTAGGGAAATTGTTTGGGGGCGTATTAAGGGCCCTAAACGAAGATTTTCAACCATTTTGTGGCTTTTTTTGCATCAAATCGAGGTAAAAAAAAATTTAGGCGAAATTTTTTTTTTCATCGAAATCTTCGATTTGGCGGTTGTTTGATACTTGAATGTTCATTGGATGCCTTTGATTGTTGATTTGGAGATGTTAGGGTGAATTTGTGATAAAAAATCGGGGGTTTCAGAGGTCATAAAGAAATCGAGCAGTCCTTCACAGAGTCGATAAATTTTTTTCCTTCTTGTACAATATTACTATTATACATATTTTTGGGACAATGTCTTCTTCCCAATCTTCTAGTAATAAGGATCCAGCTTGGAAATAAGCTAAACTAAAAAATCCCAAAGATAGAAATTGTGTGATATGCTTGTTCTGTAGAAATATTTATATGGGTAGATAACTGGATACAAAATCTCTGACAACTAATAGTTTTGATGTTAATCATTAAACTAAAATACCTAATATCAGATATATTACCTTCATATATTTTTTTATACATTAACTTATTTTTTAAAAAAATTTTGAATTTTTTTACATTTATTGACCGCATCATCGCGATGCACCCGCATCCGAGCCGCATCGAGCCGCATCGGCCCCCCACCGCATCAGGGCCGCATCCCGCATTTTAAAACACTGCTTTGTGTTGACATCATTTCGGGTTTCATCGATTAAAACTATGTCATTTGCTAACAACATGCACCAAGGTACCTCACCTTACAGGTGCCTAGTTAAGTCATCCATAACTAAGACAAAGAGGTATGAACTCAATGTTAACCCCTAATGTAGACCTATTGTCGCTGAAAACTCACTCGTCTCTCCACTGGTTGTTCGTATATTGTTAGAGATCCCTCGTATATGTCTCTCACCAAGTTGATGTAGTGCTTGGAGATTCCTTTCTTCTCCAATACCACCAAATCAAATCTCGAGGTACTCTATCTAAAGCTTTCTCGAGATCAATAAAGACCATGTGGAGGTCTTTTCCCTTCGCCCTAAACTTCCCAATCAGTTGTTTAAGTAGGAAAATAGCCTCGGTTGTTGACCTCCCTTACATAAAACCGAATCATTTTTTTGATACACTTGTTTCATGCCTTAGTCATTGCTCAATCACTCTCTCTCCAAGCCTCATAATGCAGCTCCTAAGTTTGATCCCTCAATAGTTCGCACAATTCTGGTATGTCTCTTTTGTTTTTATAAATAGGTACCACGGTACTTTTCCTCCATTCGTCTAGCATTTTCTTTGTTTTCAACACCTTGTTGAACAGCTAGGTTAGCCAATCTCCCCCATGCACTTCCAAACCTCTATCAGGATACCATCTGGTCCTAAAGTCTTTCCTATCTTCATTCTTTTCAAAGTTTCTTTCACTTACGATATCCTAATCCTACGAATGTATCTATGACATCCGCCCTCATTTAAGTTTTGACAAAGTTTTACGTTGGATGCCTACCTAACACAACTCAACTCTTTTACCTCAACATGGGATGGGTTAAGGAACCCTTTTTCGACCAACATTATAAATGATAATAAAGAATATTATTTCGAGCAAATCATATCCAAGTCCTACTCTTTTCTCCACATACATGTCTCAGTAGTAAGGCCTACATGTCTTAGATTGTGAGGGATGAGTGCCTTAATAACTAAGACATGCAAGTGTAAATTTTACGACACACATGTCCTGAGTTTTAGATTTAATATTTTAAATAGGGAAAATATCTTTGTACACCCTATTTTCGTGTACCATTTCCCAATAAACCTAGAGTATTAAAAAGTTTATGGCGGCATAAGATCCCACAAAACATATATTCTCCCTGAACCTAGTTTACCCCTTTTGACCTCCAAAAGTTTTTTTTATTTTGTATTTTTATTCAATTTTAAAGGATGTATATTTTGATTTTAGTTATAGGGTTTCTTAGTTTCTAGGAATTCTAGGCACTTTTTAGATATTTTAAGTTAAAGTTAAAAAAGTTTAGTTTCAAGTTCTACTTAAGTTAAGACCTTTTGGACAAAAGTTAATTGTCTCAACAAATATTGTCCAAAACAATAATTTTTCAATATAAATAAGGGCATAGATGGACTGGAGAGCCATTCAAGCATTCCTCTTTCAAAAAAGAAAGGCTTTGTCTTGTAAAAGAAGCCTAACGTTTGAGTCCTAGGTGGGAGAAAACTTAAGAGTTTCTCCAAAATTGCTTGTGTTTGGCTTTCTTTTTTTGCTGATTTTCTATGTTTCTTCGAATTTTGCTACATCAAGTGGTATCAGAGCCCGCGATCTATGCGAAAGTTATTGCTGTAAGTACGAAAGTTACTATAGCACATACGAAGTCACTGTAGCACCACCTTTTTTTGTATACCCTAGATCAACAACAAAGAGGGTAAGTTATAATGGGGTCTAGGATTTGCTGATTTAGGCCAAAGTATTGCCAAAACAACCTAGTTCTTGTTGATTTCGGCAATTTTTGTTGACTATTTGCCTAGGGTTTGTGATTTCGACAAACCTTTGACAGCAAGAAGGGGCCATAGAAGGGGGATTTTCGAAGATCTACTCCGTGATCCTATTGATGACAGAATTGAGGAACTTAAAAGGTAAGTCCAACAGCTGGCGCAACAATTCGCGAGCCTCAATAATGGCCACGACGTTGATCTTACAGCCCAAGAGGATCTAGTGCGAGCCTTTTCACTTTCGCGCTCCGCGTGTGGAGACGGGTGATGAGGATAGTGATAAAAAACCTAGATGTGGGGAATATTTTAGGGTTTTCGATTTGAAGGACGAGATTTTTTTTATTTTGACATAGCTTGCATGGAAAGTCAACAAATTGTAGATTGAGACTCCCGACCAATCTTCAATATATACTCAGATGAACAACAAGATTTCTTAGGAGATCCGATCTATGATAAGGATCAAGATGATGGTGAAGATATCTAAGAAGAGAGAAAGAACATAGTTGTAAATCAAGCCAAGAGAAGAAGACTTTCTTCTTTCATAAAATAAAATTTATTCCAAATAACATATCCCCTAAACTATGACATCTAACCTTTTATAAGCCTATGAAACCCTAATTTAACTTGAGATTCAAGTAAATATTTAATACTCTAAATACTCCTAAATCAATACCAAAATTCCAAAAATACCTCTATGAACAGTAACATGTGCATAGCAACACATGAACAGTAACTATGAATAATACTTTGAATAGTAAATAAAAAAATAAAAACCCTAGAAATCCTAAAAACCTAGAAATCCTAAAAACCTAGAAATAAACCCTAAAACTATAACTACAATATACATCATTGAAATTGAATAAAAATACAAAATAAGAAGACTTTAGCCCTCCATCACAAAATCATCAGCCTAAATTTGCAAAGGCTCAAATGAAGTCTATCTCCAAGTCTATGCCATATCTTTGTAACCCGGCTTGCATAACATGCAAATGTGTGCAAAGGTTCTGATCATTGTGAAATCTAGGTCATCAAACCTGATATTTGAAAGCTGCATGCGTATAGATAAGAATTGAAAACTTTTTTTTTTTGTGATTGGGAGGGGGGGGGGGGAATACAAGCATGATCAAATGACAATAATATAACACCAAAAAGGGTGTACATATGTACAGTATATAAATGGTAATACATCCTCAAAATACATCCTCAAAAGAAAACATAAAAAGAACTTGTACATGCGGATCAACAATACAGTTACTAAGTCTATTATCAACAAGTTCCAATAACTTTAGTTGTTTCAAACTGCACATTATCAAGTATAACTGCAATAGAATAAAAATTTTAATGGAAAATATTTAATTTTAAATAAACCTCAAAACCAGCACAAAACCATGTGAAACAACTAAAAAATTTCGCACCTGGTATTTACTAGCAGCAAGATCTGAAAAAACTTGCTTAGTCAGCTCAGCAAGAAAACGACCTGTAGCATCAAGAATCAAATGTTCAAACATGTCCATGAAGTTCTTGCTAGAACAGGATAAATTAGCAGAAATAAGGGGCAGCACAAAAGCTTTTGCCCAAAGAGTAATCAATTAAAAAAAAATTAAAAATAAAAAAGCCACACAAGCATCTACTCATTCAATTAAGAATCTGGAGTTAAAATCAGACTTGACTAGGAGATGGATTACTAGATAAAGACGAAAATTAAAAAGAAGCATATGATGCACCACCAAAGACAACAACATATTCATACTTGTCTAGTCTTCCCAGGCCAAAACCCTAAAACATTATTAGGCTAAAATTGATTCTCAGGGAAAGAAAACAATAAAATTCCTCAATAACCCACCAATAAAATTCCTCAAAAACCCACTAAAGCATCTTTGCAAATAGTGATCCTGGAGAGTGCTCCATAAACCAGAACCAAAGAAGGGGCACTGACAGTCGGCCATGTTATCATCCGCATGAACATTGCCACTCTCCACAATCGAGAAAATCAACAAGGATGCTGTTCTTTTTAGCACTCCATTGTCATGAATGGCAACCATTAAGAAGGAATGACAGCCCAGCGTATATTATTCAGGGTTTCCCTCCAACGCTTTTTGGAAGCAGAAAGTTATGCCATCAAATATTGCTTCTTCTAGAGCAAAATGTGATGATATAAAGTTTGTATGTGGATGTATTATGTAGCTATTTTATATGTTGGAAACAACAAAATTCAGAAAGGTTTTCCAGATAATTACAATCATGACTTCTCAAGTACTTCAAATTGTTCAACAGCTATCTAGGGATAAATGCACAAGAAAGAAAAAGATAAAACTAGGTGAAATTAAAGAAAAAGATAAAACTAGGTGAAATTAAAGCCTACAAGAGCTTTTCCAATGCACAAACATTCAGAGTGGTTAATAATAGTCACAATTAACCAAACTCCTATACTACAAACCACTACATTCAGCACATAACCATCTACCAAAATTACAATAACATCCTTCTCAACCATCCACCATTTTTTTCTTAAATCGATAATGAAAAATTTACCACAAAAAATAAAGGATAAAAACCATAAAACAAATTATGAATAAACTTCCTAAATTGAACCATCCATTTTATGTACATTCTCAAGCATGGTTTAGATTTCTCCTAGTAAATTCCTGATTTGCAGTCAACAGCTCATGCTGAGTGGCGGAACTCATTACCAGAAATGGAACATGCTTTTAAGATTCAAATCATACAATTAATCAGAATGATTGTCATTGAAGACAAAAAAGAGTAAAATGATAAGGTCAACATACATCAACCAAAATACTAATTCAGTGGAATAGCGAAAAATTACCTTGAATAAGATTATCCTGCTTAAGGAAAATTTCTCTCAGCCGACTTTGCCCACAAGGGTTATACTTGAGATTGAACTTGTCAAAACGATGGAATGTACTCTTGTCTGCATGGACATCTAACAGATCAACATTAAGGTCATACCTGTTCCAGAAGACCAAAAGAGGAAGTGCAATTTTTGTTCAGAAAGAATTGCAGGAAATGGAGAACCACATAAGCATTCAAAGAATACTAAAAGTTATGTAAATACCCCGTCAAATCCAAGCTCTCAAAAACTTCTTTTAGTGTCAAATATGTCCCATCTCGGAATATCACCACCTGGAAAAAAGCATATAGAACTAAGTGAACAGCTCTTCCATAATCTGTAACACTTCACAAGTAAGTATTTGGTTTGCACATCATCACTTTGTGGCAATGTACTGCCCCACCATAATCCGTAACCCTTCACAAGTACATCACATTTTTTTTCACAACACCACTTCGTGGCAATGTACTACAATGATAAATCACAAATAGGGAAAGTACAATAAAACCAATTGGCTTATGGAAACATACGACATTGGGTAACCGGTAACCACCATCTATTGAAATGATGGACGGCAACCGACTGCGTGGAACCCCCCATTAGGGTCATGAATTGTGCTCATAGGCACACCTCTCTCCATCACTGTCCATAATTTCAATGGATGGTGATGACTCAACATACCTCAGGTTCTCAGTGACCCATGCAATCATACCACTCTTTCCCTTACATACAATTGAAAACTAGAATAGTACCTCATCAGGTTCTTTCCTCAACTTTGATTTGATGAACCGTAAAAGATGTTTCTGGTTCATGCATGCTGAGTGATGAACATGTGTATCAACTTTCCTGACATTATAAAAGTCACGATGTGGTGCACTTTTCTGCGCTAGAAATTCTCTATCTGCATTCAGCATTAGATGAAGGTTGAACTTCTGCAATGAATCAAATGCATGTGTGTTACTGATAACTTCAAGAGAAGCCACACTTATAAACCAAAGTATAGGAAAGAAACAAAAGAAAATCCAGAACAGGTATAACTTTCCTGCTCCAGAAGAACCAATCTCCGATGGCATAAAGATCGTATGTTCCCCGCAGCAATTACATGCAGGATGTGATGCAGAGCAGTAAAAAAGGTTGTGGCATTAGAAACAGGAAAAAGCTTTTCTTCTGTAGCTGTAAAATAAAAACATAGAAACAAAGATCAAAATTCTTCATGAAAATTCCATAGCTGCTATGTATCTGGAAAACAAACTAAATCCCAAAATCTTTCCAAGAAGAGACAAATGAATATTTCAATAAAAGTACAACATTTTACAGAGAAGTAAGAAAAGAAGCAAGTCGAATTTCATTCTTACAGTCTTCATTTGGATAGACATGAACAACTCCATCTTCCATCCGAAAGTAATGCTGCAAAACATTTTAAAGAAACCACTGAGGAATTACACAAAATTTTAACCACAAGATGTTGATAACCTACTTCGACTACTGTAGGAAGCAAAAAATATGCTACAATTTGATTGGCTATAGGAAAACCATTTCAGTGGGTCAGCAAGATCCACCAGAATGACAAACAGTAACGGGTAGGGAGTGTGACCCACCAGAAAATGACATGACTTCAATCAGGGTTCCTGCTCACTGCATCACCATCCGTCATTTCAATGGACGGTGACGATCCAATAGGCTACTTTTTATCCATTGCCCATCATATTACAGGATACTTTTCTGTTTACGGACATATAGTGATAATTTATGAAAAGCACACACAAGTAGAGGTTGCAAAGTCTTACATCTGTTTTCTGCTCGGGTTCAATTGCAAATGGATCAGGATTTGGCCTTGGTGTACTAGGGTCAGTTATTTCTTCTTTCTCCCATGGAGCAATGGCTTCTCTGAACACATACCTTTCTCGCAATTCAAGACACCCTCGGAGAAGTGAGTATACCTCCTCTTCATCCGGCAATGGGGCCTCTGAAGATCAATATGGAGAAATAATAAATTAAATCATAGATGACTTCAGTATGCCTGAGTGCTCGATGAAACTTAACACCCATCTACAAGCATTACAATCCATGGAAAAGATGACATCTATGACAATCTTGAGGACCCCATATAAACTAGCACATAACAACTACCTAAAATTTGGATATCAAGAGGCAAGAATTAAGATAGAAAGTCTACTAAATCTAGAAAATTCACTTCAATGTGCATAAATTATATCTCATTTGTTCCTATATGGTCTACTGATGCCAATTCAACCCAAACTTGAACATGGGTATTATCGAGCACATGTTCTAAAATTATTCGCTAATCAACAAAGCACTTTGAGATGTAACATGTGCATAATTACATACTCTTCTCTATCATTGTAAAGAACAAGGTGATCATACATGAAGATCATGAGATTCTGCTAATGGTTGGCTGTTAAAAATAAGACACTCTCGAATCATGGAGACCTCCACTTTCTTTAGAAATTTTGGTATCTAGTGATTGTCCATGGCCATAAACAATTTGGCTCACAAAACATGTCTCATTACATGCACATTCCATAACCTTTTCATGGCACAGTGATATTTGGCCCAATTTTATGTAATTTCATGCATGTTAATGATCTATACAAGCAGGAGCCACAATC